GAAGTCAATAGGGTTGGGGTTTTCTCTGTGTGAGTAAGGTTGCCTTCCTACTGCAGAATGCGCCTAAATTATATTGATGATGAGGATTTAAAGGCAAGCATAAAGACAGGATTAGGGGAAAGAGAGAAATATTGGAGAGAGTGCACTTAGAGCAGCATACATTCATGGTGTGCCCAGGGTCAGGGGAGACTGGCTGGAGCAAAGGCTGCAGTGGCCAAGCCTCAGTTAGCCAAATCCATTGGAAAGTATTGGGGGGACCAGAGAGAAGACATTCACCGTGGAGATCCTTTTTCATCTGCTTCTTTTAAAGTAAATCCTTGAGTCACTCATTCTTTATTAAAAATACAGAAAACTCTGACAGAATAAATTATTGTCACATATATATACACAGTAATTGACTCTGCTTCTTTGCTGCTGCTGTTGCTTTTCCCTCTTCTCCGACATAGGGTTGTTCTGTGTTTCTGTAACACTACTGGCAAATCAGGATTTATTGTACATATGTTTGCATTCCACTTAATAAAAAATATACTTATATTTTCAGATAAACTTTGTTAGTAATTCATGAGGTAAGTGACTATTTATGCTAATAAGGGAGAAATATATTCTCAAGCATAATGCATTACATAAATTTGAATGCAAAATGTTCAATTATGAGGTAAATACAGGTAATGCAAATAGTAAATTACATCCAATAAAAATACATAAAGACTGTGTCTTCAAAGAGAGAGAGGCTTTTATTTGCGTCTGTGAGTTGTTTAAAGAGAAAAGAATTAATAAATACAGAATTATGCTTATGATGATTTAGCTCATAATTCACCAATCCATAACGACTCCCAGTAATCAGACTGTTGTTCCATACCCTCCAATATAAGGCAGGACTGTTTCCTCAGCAATTTTACCCCGACCAGATTATCTCGTCTGATTCTATTAATTCTCTCCCATAAATCTGCTAACAGTGATATGTGATTTACTTACCCTGTTAACTGATCTGAAGACTGTTAAAAGGATTTATCTAGCACTGCACCTAGGAGCAGTTTATGCCTTATCACTCTGTTACTCTGAAGAAGTCTTTCTGAAATCAATTTGGCTGGTTTCATAGTTAAATTCAGCAGACACTGTTTAGTTCTGCACCATAAAATAAGACACTAGATAAACAAAAGGAGCAGTAACTGTACTTAATGTGTTGGTCTTGATATGTGTTTAAGTTATAACAAATTACACTCTGAGTCCATGTAACTCATAACCTGCACATTCGCTTCTGCTACATCTTCTAAATGCACACTCACACTCACACACACTTCAGCCATGGAAGGTCTTGCACATGCTGCCGACGTGCTCGTCCCAGTGCAGGGTGATCCGAGTGTATTTGGAGTTAATGTTTCACATCCCCCACACACAATTTGTCAGAAAACTCCTATACATCAGTTTGAAGGCTTATGGACCTGGTCAGTAGCAAACTGGGAGCAAGCAGGGCTCCCACGTTCTGTTGTTGAATAGAGCTGCTTAAAAACAAACGGGAGCCAGAGACTGTGAGAGGGATGCTGGAGTTTTCCCTCTGACACACACACTTCAGCCATGGAAGGTCTTGCACATGCTGCCGACGTGCTCATCCCAGTGCAGGGTGATCCGAGTGTATTTGGAGTTAATGTTTCACATCCCCCACACACAATTTGTCAGAAAACTCCTATACATCAGTTTGAAGGCTTATGGACCTGGTCAGTAGCAAACTGGGAGCAAGCAGGGCTCCCACGTTCTGTTGTTGAATAGAGCTGCTTAAAAACAAACGGGAGCCAGAGACTGTGAGAGGGATGCTGGAGTTTTCCCTCTGCCTGGCTCAGGGCAGGATTTTTACAAACAGTGCTGGGAAAAGGGAGCAGTCTGAGGGAATCGGCCTGCGATAATTGTGGAAAAACTGAAGGCTGAATAGCTCTAATTGAAATGAAAGTGTGTGATTGTTATGGAAGAAACACTGTTAATAGAGGACTGTAAATGTTTAGACACCCATTGTGAATAGCCAAATAATAAAGAAAAATACTACTAAAATGAGAACTATATAGCGTAGGGAGGAGAATGTTGCTCCTGAAGGTTATCCAAAAATTGCTAATAATCTTTTTTTCTCTGCTGCACTGAACAGTAATGGCATCTTGGTGCAGCAGTTCTGTGTAATAATCACACAAGAACAATATTGTACAACTACTAATTTTACTCGCTGTTCTGGTAGGTCAGAGCTTCAATTTAATCCCAGCAGTTGCTTGCATTGGTATCAATTAAAAGACGGTCCCCATTAGCTCACACCATTTCATACTCTTTGTCTAGAGTTCAGAGTTTACTCGGGAAATGTGTTCGCTTGCAAATGTAGCACTTTGAATCCTCCCATCCAAACAAACTATTTAATGGGGCTGGAGCCATATTTCCAAAGCCATCTATCAAACAGGCACATGAAATACTGCCATTGTACACTCGGAAAAGCAATAACCTTTTCATTTAAAAATATTAGCACACATTTTATATCTCTCATAGGTGAGCATGTTAAGTGATCTACAGTACCACATTCATCTTGCTCAGGGAAAAAACAAATACGGGATTGGACTGTCTTGGGGGGATTTATGCTGGGAGCCTGGAAGTTTTGTTGATTCCAAGGCCATGAAAAAATAGGAAAGCCAGCCCGAGTAGTTGAGTTGTATTAACTTTGTCATGAATTGCAGTCTGTAAGACAAAGCTAGCAGATGTCCACAGCTCTCTGTGTGTGTGTTTTGGGACCCTGCAGAACTATAATTTTTTAAGCTGTGTCTGTAGCATTTTTTAGCTTAACAGAATTGCCTCTCTGATCACTTCTAGATGTAGTTATCTTCCCAAATTTGCAGTATGCTGTACCTTTTTTAGCTGCCAGGAACAGTACACACTGTATGACTTTCAGATGTTAGTACTGGCACTCACACTGATAATGGCATAGTCAGATAATGTTATCCATTCGTAAATCCACTAGCCAAGTACCATTTCCTTAGCAGAGATTCTTTGGCTATTGCAAATGATGATTTTCACAGCCGGTGAAAAATTACCCCAAGACTTGCCCGCACCTCCAAAGCAATACCCTGTGCACGGTTATAAATAGCAAACCCCGAGGGGGAAGGGACCGGGCAAGGGGAGAAGGGAGGATTTGAAGTACAATGTTCAAGAAGCTGGTTTAATATATGACCAAGTGTCAGAAGTCAGGTTTCTGAGAATTACTTTTCAGATAAACAACTTTATAGCGCTGCACTTCATCTTACTTACCAGAGACATCTCATTTATCACGGAATTACAAGTAACTTTAATTCTATCGGTATTCCCATAAACCCCGGTCGGAAAAACCGAGCCTGGCAGCCCCGCAAGGAGCGGCTTCCCCCGATCCGCACAAGGGGAGCGCGGGTGGGGCAGCGAGGG